GAGACTCTGTCTCAAAAAAAAAAAAAAAAAATTAGAATGAAATATAACTATATTAATTGAGAAATTTAGGTCTGCTATATTTGAGATACTGCACAAAGCTTTATAATAGATCATTTTCCCTCATCTTGCGATTAGCAACTGACTCAGAATATAACAAAGTTAATGGATGTATGTTTTAAACAGGCACATGAATAATTATCTATTCTCTTCACAGGACAGGATAATATTTTCTTAGGTATTATTCATGGAAACAAAATGCTCCAGTTTTTGACACAATACATAAAACTTTAACTATAAAATACTGGAAATGATGCTTTCAGATTTCATTTGAATGGGAGGAGTCAGATAGACATAAAAATGTTGATAGGTGCACTGTATTACATTCATTGGAGTTTTAAATTGATTGACAAAAATAGATTAGCAAGGTGAGTAGTGGGATGAAATTAGACACTTTCTCAAAGGCGCCTCCCTTTTAAAATTTCCCATTTCCCCTCCCTGCTTTATTCTTCTGCAAGGCACATCATTATTGGCTACCTCATCTATGAGAATGTACGTTGCATGAGACATGGATTTTGGTCTTTCCAGTAGTATACGAGATCCCCGGCACTTTGTATAGTACCTAGAACGCAGTAGGCATTAAATAAATACAGCTGACCCTTGAACGACAATGGGTTTGAACTGTGTGGGTCCACTGTTAGGTGGATTTTCTTTCACCTCTGCCAATCCCTGAGACAGCAAGACCCATCCCTCCTCTTCCCCATCCTTCTCAGCCTACTCAACGTGAAGATGATGAGGATGAAGAACTTCAAGATTCACTTCCACTTAATGAATAGTAAATACATTCTCTCTTCCTTATGTTTTTCTTAATAACATTTTCTTTTCTCTGGCTTACTTTATTGTAAGAATACAGTACATAATACACATAATATGCAAAATATGTGTTAATCAACTGTTTGTGTTATCAGTAAGGCTTTTGGTCAAAAGTAGGCTATAAGTAGTTAAGTTTTGGGGAAGTCAAAAGTTATATTCAAGATTTTTGACTGTGCGGAGGGTCAGTTCCCATAACCCCCACAATGTGCACGGGTCAACTGTATGTGCTGAATGAATGACTTACACTACTAGGAGCAAAGTGTTTCATGAGTAAAACAATTAACCAAGGATTAAAAGAAACTAGTGTTCTAACCCAGGTCTACTACTAAGTACCTGAAAGCTTCTGCTTTACTATTAATCAGTTAAATAGGATTTTCTGTCTTATCTATCCATCAAGGTTGTTATAATTAAAAAAGTATCTTTGAGAAGTGTAAAATTCTTATACAAATGTAAAACATTAATGTTATTTTTCTACACATCTTGCTCCCACTATTGATGTGTACTTAATACTTCCTTTAGAAGTATTCTAATATTTTCAATTAAAATCTCATTAGAAGAAGCAAGAGGTATTTTCTAGGGAAGTAAAGATATAAAATTTCCTTTGGTAAAATTTTGATAGCAGAAAAAGTTTCAATAAAAGATTATTCCAATTGGCCTCATATTGAGAATTTGAAGATATGAGCAAACTGCTATTAGTACATGCTAAGTAGTTTCTTATTGTTCCACTTCAACATACCTTCTTTGCTATATCTTCTATTAACCCCATATTTTAAAACATTTCATTTATCAATATCAGCTATCATATAGCAATTCATTTTTCCTAAATTTTTCATCAGAGAGAATACATGTCTTCCTTCAGAAACTGTATTCAGTTTGGGACAGCCATTATTTCAGTTGATATAATTCTTATAAAAACAGAAATTTGACACTTAATTTAGCCTGTATGGTCTTAGAGCAGGTAAATGTATCACTTTTGTTAAGTTTTTTGAAATGTTAAAACTAGCTTGGAAACTCCTATTATTGGTTTCATGGAGCTCTGGGATTTCAGGGACTTTGGATAGTGTATGTTTTTTCTTTTTACATTATAAATATATACACAAACACACATACAAAATATACAATATATAATATACATATATAAAAATTTATGAATGACCTCCCTGATTCTTCAGTTAGAATTAATCCTTTCTTTCATTTTGCATATCTGCACCTCCCTTATAGCACTTTTCACAATCTGCCTTGTTTTTTTCTCCAGCTTGCATATATAAGTGTCTTGACACATGATATTTGGGTTTGTATACTTAGGGGAACTGAATCTGATTCACAAGTCCTTTTTCTGGTTTTGTTTTTTGAGACGGTCTCACTCTGTCCTTCAGGCTGAGGTACAGTGGCGTCATCATAGCTCACTGCAACCTCAAACTCCGGGCCCCAGTGATCCTCTGACCTCAGCCTCCTGAGTAGCTGAGAATACAGGCGCATGCCACTATGCCCAGCTAATTTTTTTTATTTTTCACAGGGACGGGGTCTCACTATGTTGTCCAGACTGTTCTCAAATTCCTGGCTTTAAGCTATCCACCAGCCTTGGCCTCCTTTGCTGTTAATTTTTTTTGGTCACATTTTTTAACATTTAAAAATTCTTTTATTCATTTTAATATGCTGTATGAGGCAATAAATTTTTATCAATCTTTTTACCTGCAGAGGCTAGTAGTCTACGTGTGTGTATATATATGTCTTCTTCATCAAAGAAAGCACACGTGAAAGAGCTCAAAACCACTAACTCGTAGATAACTATAACTTTAATAGATCTTATCCTCCTCAGACAGGCATTTCTCCTTCCTCTGAGCCCCTCGCGTGGCCCTTCCTGATCCCATAAGCTGCCGGGAACTCACCGAGGACGGGGAGAGCTCAGCCTCGGGCTTCATGAGCAGCACGCTTTGGTCCACGGCACGGAGGGCGCAGACCGACTGAGGAGAAGCCGTCACTCGCAGGTGGGCGTGTGAGGCTGGGAAATTTTGTGCTGTGCTAAAGCTCAAATCCACCTGTGAAATTGGGGAAAAAAGGTCAGAAAAAGAAATTTACTGATTTAACCATGCATTTCCCCGCATTTTTGGAGTGTTCCTCACCTTCAGCGCAGAACCACTTTGACTTTAGTCAAGGTGGTTGGCGTTATGTCAGTCCTGAGACTTTTTGTCCCCTACAATTCTCTTTCATTCTCAAGAATCGGTTGAGCCATTATAATAATTTCTAGTTATTCTTAGAAATTACTAATTATGACACGTCTTTTTCTACCTCTGATACAAGGCGAGGTGCTCGTTAACTGCAGTGGGAATGCATATGGGGCTAGGTGCTCTTGTGTTTCTCTTTCGGCACTTTAGTAGGCTTAAAAACTTGCCCACATATTTCCCAACATTTCATCAAAGATGAAGGGAGCAAGGTACCCTGAACTGGGTCATTTGGTAAGAGACAACGTGCTAGGAGGATTTTGAGAGTCGTGCACTAGGAGTTAAGTGACAGGGCTTCTCCTTGTTGACTCTGCTGTTATCTGGCTCAGTGTCTCTGGGGAATTTGTTTAACCCTTCTGGCTCCAATGCTCACATGTATACAATAAATGATCATGATAGTAACTTCTAGTTTGAAATGTTGAAAAGCTGATGATATAAAGCCCTCACCTTGTTGGTCAGACAATTTTCAACTTCATACTTTGCAGAATCCCCAATCACCTCCCCGTCGGGTAAAATGGCATAGATGAGCAACCGGGCAACGGGAGCAATGTCTGACCCCACAGGGACTGACACAGAAAAGTGGCCTTTCACTGGAGCAGAGAGAATGAGAGGAAGCAATTGTGGGTTAGACCTCTCTTCAGGGCTGACATGAAATCATTCTGTTGCACAAAGCCATTTTAGGAGGCTGGTCCGGTTAATGACTGTTTCTGTTAGTAGATATAATAGATAAAATAGACAGTAGGTGCAATAAATGGATGACTGCAAACTTTAGCTTTAGGAAAAACTTTGGCAAAGCCCCCTTTCCTCTCATAAATCATGTACTGTATTGATTTCTCACCAATTTTAAGCTTTAGCTCTCACCTATATAAGGCTCTGATGCTATCTAAGGGTATGGAGACATCCATTTTGCTACCGTTTGATCTAGATCTCACACTAGAAGAGGGAAATAAAACCTGAGGTTACGAGATGCAATAGGAAGAGTTTAACACATTGTATTTACGGTTATATCCTCTTTAACCATTTATGAAGAAAATATTCTGTTTTTTCTCCTTAAGAGAAATATTATGCTCCTTTGGAGGTTTTTTTTTGATGCCTACATGGATTCTTTAGAGGTTACATTAAGCTTCCTTAAATCAGCTGTGGCGTTTCTGTGTTGTTACGAGGAGGTAGCAAGAGTAGTTGACTGACGGTTTTCTAGTAAGTGATCTTTTAGACCCCATTAGACTAGCAGCAACCTTCAGAGGTTTATATTGCTACATATTTGTCCATGGGGAGAGTCTAATTCAATGGTGGAAGTACCCAACTTAACTCTTTACAAATCATAACTATCTTCAAAGGGAAAATGAGATATTTATAAAGATATAAGTGACTCAACACAAGAATGCATCCCAAAACTTTATGTTTCCTCCTCCCCATTCTCCAAAACAATTCTCAAATGTCTCCTATTTTGAGAGAAGGGTCCAAGAATATTTATGATCTGAAAATTTGGAATAAGCATAGATTGTATATGACAACTTTTAATAATCTAAACAGAACATGCTGAAGAAAAAAACCCAGATATTTGATCAAGGATGGGAAAAAAGGAACATTATTGCTTTCCCTCCCTCAACTTCTTCTTTACTGTGATTAGATAGAAATGATCTCTCTTTACTTGAAAGTGTTCCTGGTATTTCTGTAGTGAAAAGTCGAATGTGTCAGAATGGGGCAACTATGTGATTACTGAAATACTCACTATCTCCCTGCTCCACAGGTAGTACATGAGTTCCAGTTCGGACAATGCCTCCCTTTGCCATTATCTGCAAAAACAGGAAATAAAAAGAAATTTAATATGCCTGACAGGGATCTTATTCCGGTCTTGTTTATTGAGCCCCTACTAGTAATAATTAGCCCCAAGAGAAGTCAAACTTTAAAAAGAAACATGCATAAGAAGTCAAAGTGGTGATGCCCAAAGAGCTTCATAATTACTTGCCCCCCGCAGAGAGGTTGTATCTACAGATAAGCCAATGCAGTGACCTCCTTCTCACCAGATAATAGAAGACGAGCTCCTTCAGCTCCTGCAGGGCCTGCGCATTCAGAATATAATGTGCCTGGACCTCCTGAGTTTGGTCACAGGGCAGTTCACCAGGCATGGGCCCGAGGTGCACAAAGCTGTTACTTAGGGAGAATACGAGATTAGCAGTGTGATATGCCTCTTCATTCTCTTCTGATATCCATTGGTAGCCATAACAGATATTTTGATCCTTGTGTTTGACCTAATGAATTAGGAAAACAATGTTATTTTACAGACTATATGTCATAAAGAATAAATGTACTCACGAAACTGCATAAGTTCACTGTCCTACCTTAACTAGAAATATTGTCATCCACAATAAAAAGTGAGAGAAGGGCTCCTTATTTAATTTATCCGTATCAAATGAGGCATGATTTGTACTTTTACACTGCAGAGGCTGCCAGGGTTGGGATTTACATTTCTGAAGAGCATAAAAGGAGGCTTCCTTTGATCTGATTAGCTTGCTTAAAATTTCTTTGGCTACTTTGCTTTTATGCAGATAGAGACACTGGAGCTATGAAACCTCATTGAGGAGAATGAATCATCTTAAGAAACTGCTTCAGAAACTAGCTGTCTTTTTTATGATGGGTTTGAAATGTGTATTATGAATGAATGAAATATTCCAACCTTAGGGGTCTGAGAAAACATTGGTAAAAAGCATTGATTTAAGAGCTGAGTTGGTGAATTAGCTGAAGTCTACTTCTCCTGGGCTATCTTAGGCTGATTATTTTTCATGCTTCCTGCTGTTCTGGATTCTTATGCTTCGTAGGCCCTATTGGGTTGTATTTTCAACTTTGCTTCATGTAGAAGTTGGTCCTTAACCCTTTTAAGGGTTCCCCAACCTTCATCCACAGCTGCCAAATAGCATGAGTGCATCCTTGTTGTGCCAGCAAAACACTTTGTTCACATCTCAATATAGATTCTAGTGATAACATATACATGACCACCAAAAAGAGGGAGCATTTAAAAATAATATTTTCATTGTCAGGACTAGCACAGTGCCTGGCACATAGAAAGCATTCAAGACACTTCTTGATTGATAAGTGAATAAACATTCAAATTTGAGTCATTGGAGGTATGGGATTTTAGACCATCTATTTAAAGCTGCGTCAATAAAAT